CGTGATAGTAACAAAATTCTGCTTTTAAGTTACAGTATTCTCGATCGAAGCTTTCCTGAATATCGGATAGTTAATGGAAAGCACGTCTCTCGTTTTCGGTTCGGTCAATTCCAGAGACTATCGTTATAGTCATTTACACTGAACCAAAGAACTTTTATTATAAATACACGTGGTACATTTATTCGATAATATAATAAAAATGAAATAACTTTCTTATAATATATTAATATTAGAAATTGACATTACTATATTTAATATACGTAAATTATTTCGATTAACAAAATAATTTATTATAAATCTATTAAAAACGTATACTTTATTTAATAGTTAATGTAGATTCCTGTAATTTTATGATAACATCAATTATCAACGTTATCCCAGTCGGTATGAAGTTAACGAATCGTAAAATTATATTCCTTTTGACTAAATTCGACGATATTATCGTTCAATAATGTCTTTTTCCTTCTTATCAACTTGTTACCTTTTAAAAAATCATCTTATTTTTCCTGCTTCGTTGATATTTAAAAATAAATCTAAAATAAAAAATATATAATCGATATAATACATATATATATATATATATTCCGCCGATTAATCGGGGTATTTGAATAATATTGCAATGACACACGCGAACAAAATAAATTCGATGAAAAAATCTTATTTTAACGAATAAAAATAAAAATAAAAAAGAAATATAATATAATCGCGAAATACTTCATAACGTTTTTTACGAGAGGACGAGAATAATCCTCTGATATCTGCTTGATTAAAATCCAAGAGGGAAATATCAACAGGAACAAAAAGAAAAACGAAAAAAAAAAAAAAAAACAAAAAAAAACCCACCCCCCGAAAAAAATTATGCCTTTGAGAAAGATTCAACAGTCGGGCGGAAAATTGGTAACTAAAGTTACATTTTACTTTCACGAGTTTCGCGCAATAAACGAGCTTCGGCTGAAACTTTCATCGTAATTATCGCGTATTCTCTGGTCTAGCTTCGTTTTTAATTAGAAAACGGGAGATCGTTATCGAGCGAGCGGTCTGTCTGTCTGTCTGTCTGTCTGCATGTCTACCTGTCCGTCTGTCGGTCGGTCGATCTTGAAACTAACAAATACAAAAAAAAAAAAAGATTAAAGTAGAAGAAAAAAATGCAATGGAAAGTACTGGAATAATTTCTCGTGGAAATCCTTTCTACGAACAAACGACAATTATTTCGCGTGCGTTGTTACACGCTACGTTCAAATTACAAAACCTGCAAATCCCCTTTCTCGTGTAATAAAAAAAGAAAAATAAAAAAAAAAATAAAAAAGAAACGTTAATCGTTTAAAATATATATATATATATATATTTAATATGTGTGTGGGGGTGTATGTACGCGTAGGTGGATGTGAGTATGTTCATAAAGAGAGAGAGAGAGGGAGGGAATAAAAAAAACAAGATAGGAAGAAAGTATAAATGTCGAAAACATTTTCATAAAGTTCGAGACGTTTGATATCAATTTTATTCTAGTAAATCTATATGTTTCTTTTAGATCTTCTACTTTACTTTAACAAATTAAATATAAAATACGGAGATAAATATTTAAAAGTATAAAAAGTAATATAATGTATTAATACACGATTTTTGACGTATTTTCTTTATTTCTATTTATTGTTAGTTGATCAGTATTGTATGTAATACGATAATAATGAGAAAAGTATGAAATAAATAATGATCGCGTTTATATCATTTTGTTTTTTTGTATTATTAATCAGCATCATAAAAGAATGAGAGAAACAAACAAGTGGAAGAAATTCAAAGTAGGAAGCTATTTTCTTCCGAATGAGCTAACTTCGAACAAAGTTTCACCGGCACAAAGTTTGTCGCCTAAATGTCAAATACGATTACTGGGATTTCCACAAACCGTTGGAGTTGCGAGGGTCAACGTTGAAATTTACATGAAAGCGAGTACGAGGTTATGCATATCCTAGTGAAATAACTATGCATCCCTTATTTGCAGTTCGTTATTTTAGAAATTTGACAAATAAAAAAGAAGATTAGAAAAATATAAATATATTAGTTTGCCAACTAAGTTATCAGATGTATTTTTCAATGTTTTCAAACTTTGTTTTTCGATCAAAATTAACAATTAATTAATCAATTATGTATATATTCTCCCTTGTTAAAATTTAAAAAAAAACGCTGGGAACTCTCAGTTGCCAATTTAATAGTTCGACATTGACATTATCCATTTTTAATCAATTCAATTTAAATATCATAAACGAAGATTGTACCGATATTAATTATTCATTTCAAAAATGAAAAACTTAATAATAACAATTTACAATTAATATTTATTTCATATTTATAAAAACTTTTCACATAACGAAAGAAACAAATTTTACGCACAAGATGCTAGGTGATCTCTTATTTACTCGTGCACGTATTATCATCTGATACATACAAACATATACATATGTAACACATACATATATAATACATAAGTCTCCGTATACTCCTAAATTATACAGAGAGATTCCGCCGAACGTTCACATCGGTATTACAATCCTGTTCTCTTAATTAACCGTATGTGGTTTAGGATATAATTGGATTCAATAACGAACTCGTAATATTGAAAACGTTGATAATCCGTCGTTATGAAGTGTCATGATTATTATATTAAAAAGAAAAAAACGAAGACAAAAAACTCGTCAATTATACTAGTACATCATAAAACGAAATAATTTTACGAAGGCTCGTATCAAAATCCTATTGATTATTTTTCTTTTTCTTTCTCATTTCAAAAAATACGATAGTTAATATAAATCGTATATATATAAATTTATATATAGATATAAATGTATATTATNATAATATACATTTATATCTATATATAAATTTATATATATACGATTTATATTAACTATCGTATTTTTTGAAATGAGAAAGAAAAAGAAAAATAATCAATAGGATTTTGATACGAGCCTTCGTAAAATTATTTCGTTTTATGATGTACTAGTATAATTGACGAGTTTTTTGTCTTCGTTTTTTTCTTTTTAATATAATAATCATGACACTTCATAACGACGGATTATCAACGTTTTCAATATTACGAGTTCGTTATTGAATCCAATTATATCCTAAACCACATACGGTTAATTAAGAGAACAGGATTGTAATACCGATGTGAACGTTCGGCGGAATCTCTCTGTATAATTTAGGAGTATACGGAGACTTATGTATTATATATGTATGTGTTACATATGTATATGTTTGTATGTATCAGATGATAATACGTGCACGAGTAAATAAGAGATCACCTAGCATCTTGTGCGTAAAATTTGTTTCTTTCGTTATGTGAAAAGTTTTTATAAATATGAAATAAATATTAATTGTAAATTGTTATTATTAAGTTTTTCATTTTTGAAATGAATAATTAATATCGGTACAATCTTCGTTTATGATATTTAAATTGAATTGATTAAAAATGGATAATGTCAATGTCGAACTATTAAATTGGCAACTGAGAGTTCCCAGCGTTTTTTTTTAAATTTTAACAAGGGAGAATATATACATAATTGATTAATTAATTGTTAATTTTGATCGAAAAACAAAGTTTGAAAACATTGAAAAATACATCTGATAACTTAGTTGGCAAACTAATATATTTATATTTTTCTAATCTTCTTTTTTATTTGTCAAATTTCTAAAATAACGAACTGCAAATAAGGGATGCATAGTTATTTCACTAGGATATGCATAACCTCGTACTCGCTTTCATGTAAATTTCAACGTTGACCCTCGCAACTCCAACGGTTTGTGGAAATCCCAGTAATCGTATTTGACATTTAGGCGACAAACTTTGTGCCGGTGAAACTTTGTTCGAAGTTAGCTCATTCGGAAGAAAATAGCTTCCTACTTTGAATTTCTTCCACTTGTTTGTTTCTCTCATTCTTTTATGATGCTGATTAATAATACAAAAAAACAAAATGATATAAACGCGATCATTATTTATTTCATACTTTTCTCATTATTATCGTATTACATACAATACTGATCAACTAACAATAAATAGAAATAAAGAAAATACGTCAAAAATCGTGTATTAATACATTATATTACTTTTTATACTTTTAAATATTTATCTCCGTATTTTATATTTAATTTGTTAAAGTAAAGTAGAAGATCTAAAAGAAACATATAGATTTACTAGAATAAAATTGATATCAAACGTCTCGAACTTTATGAAAATGTTTTCGACATTTATACTTTCTTCCTATCTTGTTTTTTTTATTCCCTCCCTCTCTCTCTCTCTTTATGAACATACTCACATCCACCTACGCGTACATACACCCCCACACACATATTAAATATATATATATATATATATATATATAATATGTATTTAGACTTCTGAAAGTTCGCCCAGCGTGATTTTCCAAAGTGCTTTAGGAATTATTTATTTTTCATGTACGCGAATGGAAGCCGATCGTGCACGAGAACGGCAAACTTTCGTCTCACGTCACGCCCGATTGCCCCTCATCTTTCATGAATTTATTTTTCTTTTTTTCTTTTAAATTTATCCACCTACTATACGTTCTTTTGTATCCCTTAGGAAACGACTTACTCAGAATTTTTTTTCTTACTCGATAATGTTTCTTTTACCAATAGAAGATAAAGTTTAAAACGAGACATGATTCGTACCAAAAAATAATATATATATAATATATATATTTATTGTGTTTATTGTTTATTCAAATATTGACGGGAATTATCCATTGTTACATAACCAGAATAAATATTGAAAAATAAAAGTAATATAAAGATAAAATAAATATAATACTGATAAATAAATTAATTAAAATATAAAAAAAGAGAGAAAAAACAGAGTTATACAATTAAAGTGAGTTTAAGCAAAATTAAATAGACATATGGATTGATTGAAAGGATCAATGAATTAATTATATTATATAATATATATTTTTTTTAATTAATATATTATCTTTTCTGTTATTGTGTTACAGGGTTAAAGGACCTAATGAAGGAAGAAAAGTCGATACACGATACGATTTTGGCACTTTTAGGAGAGATCATTGGCACTGCAATTTTAGTATTTGTCGGATGCATGGGTTGCGTCGCGAGCATGGGTAATACTCCACCAATCTATCAGATTTCTATGAGTTTTGGGCTAGCAGTCATGATTGCGATACAGGTATTTACTTACAAAATAGTTTTCTAAGAAAAAAAAAAAAAAAAAAACGTTCTTTCCAATTATATTTGCCCGTTAAATTAGTGTGTCTTTTTACTTTCTCTTTCACGTGTTCCAGTTACTTATTTAACAAACACATTCTCATACTTATTCAATACTATCAAAGAAGTTATTACGACTTTCTGTAATTAACAGTTACCCATCTATGTTACTAACTGTACCCTAACTAACGTTGCTTTATTTTAGTGATCTGACGAAAACTAGTAATCCAATATAAAAGTAAAAGTAGTAAACGTGTTTATTTTAAGGAAGTAATCCAACGTGGCCAGGTCGTTGATTGCATATTGAATTTAATTGTTTTCTATACTAAAATGAATGTTATTATCAATTGTTATTAATTTTTGATTTTGTTCACACAGTGCGTAGGTCATATTAGCGGAGCACACATAAATCCATCAATCACAGTGGCTAGTTTAATCCTCGGACTTAAGTCTCTACCAATGACCGGTCTCTACATTTTTGCACAATGTTTAGGAGGAATCTTCGGTTACGGTTTGCTAAAGGTCAGTCAGTAATTGTATTATTTTTCCTATAAAAGAATAATTTTTTAACGTGAAAAAATTTAATACGAATAAACATTAAAAAAATTATACGACAATCTAGAACAAAATTAATAATTAAAATTGAACATTAAATGGTCTAGGATTATATTATCAACGAATTTGTCATAAAATTAATTTAACCTGATTGTGTGTTAAATAATAATTCATATTCTCATTCTAATGTATTTATTTAAATATAACATTAACATATCCTAATTGAATTATAAACTTTCAGGCAGTAACTCCAAGTGGTATGTTACATGCTGGAAATCCAGAGGATACTATTTCATTCTGCAAAACGGACATTTATCAGAATATGAATATTTGCCAAGGATTGTTAGCCGAAATCATTGCTACCAGTATATTGGTATTCTTTGCATGTGGCGTTTGGGATCCACGAAATGAAAAGAATTCGGATTCGGTATCACTGAGATTTGGATTTTGTGTTTCCGTTCTTTGCTTCGTCTTCATTCCTTACACCGGGTGCAGCTTGAATCCAGCTAGGTCAATCGCACCAGCTATTTGGAATGGATATTGGAGAAATCATTGGGTCTTTTGGATTGGTCCAATCGGTGGTGCTATTCTAGCTTCCACGGTTTATCGTTATTTATTCTTGCCAAAAACTAAAGAAAATGAAGAAAATCATCAGGATACTTTGACTGGGGTAGAAACGTAAACAAGTAAGTATCTTGGAATCATTTTCTACGCACACGTTTGGATAACAAAAATATTTTGTTTTCTCTTTTCTTTTCTTTTTTGTTTTAATAATATAATAGATACAAATTTATACACGTTTACGTTGTACAAATTCATTGACGAGAAAGCAGTCAAACAGAAACGTCAATATAGATTTTGATTTGTTTATTCGTGAATGATAGTACTACACACTCGTGCAGCTTACACAATTGATATTCGATAGTTAACTCTTATATAAAAGTTGAATAAAATAAAAATAATCGTAGCACCTGGGCTATTAATTAAATTGTTAACATCTATGTTCAAATGTTTCCTTTTTTTTTCTTTTTTCAGACGGAACTATAACAATTCGAAAAAGAGAGAAAGAGAAATCCTGATTGCAGTGGCGTTTAGTCGAGCCGAAATAATTGGCGCCTAAGAAGAAAAGGATAAAAAAGGAGGAAAACTGGTCTCTTACGAAACGATCATTATCGTTTTGAAGAAGGAGAGAGAAGATGAGAGAACTGATAAGCCAAGCAACGAGTTACTATTGCATGAAGGGGGATTAAAAAAAGATCGTGTTCTTCTATAATTTTTTTTTTTTTTACTAATATTATTATTATTATTATTTCTTTTTCATCGTAACTTCGAGGGAAAAAGTATAATGAAAAGAATTTCGATCTCGTAAATGCCACTCGAGGAGGAATTTTCCGTCATCGTCGAAATATTATTCCTTTTTTTTTTATATTCCATTTTGTTTATTTCTAATTGTACAAAGGGATACACGTCGTTAGATTTTAAGCAATTCAACCAAACCACTACCACTACCACCACCACCACCACTACCACCACCCCTATCATCTCCGTCCCCTTCTCCCTCCCCCATCTCCACCCTTCACTGGGGTGCTCTTTACAGCGGGAATTTCAAAAGAAAAATGTTACGGTCGATTCGTTAATTCGATTTTACCGATCGAGCTTGTTGAATGAGATGCACCGTAGTCTTGCACGTATAATAGATTAAGCTTAAATCAAAGTATTTAAATTATTCTATACATATTTATATAAGAATTATGCATATTTAAAGGTGCTCGTATTTGTCGAGTTTCCGTCTCGATCGAGAAGCTCTTGTTGTGTACGTAAATATATATATTATTATATACGTTTATACGTACAGATGTATTATTGTTCATGAATAGTCGAATAATTTGATATACTTGAATGAAGAGCTATTGCAAAATCGAGTGATAAGCGAAAGAGTATATATATATATAAAATGATTGAATATAATATCGTTTTAGAAATTTTTTGTTACTTTTTTTTTTTGAAATGATTTTAATTTATATACACTAATGTTTGTTATACGAGACAATCGTTCTTGTAAATCAATTATTTTTATACACGCGTATAATGCATATATAGATTGAGTCAAAAGAGAAAAAAAAAAAAGAAGAAAGAAAAAAGACATTTATTTACTTATTATTTTTTTAATTATTGACTCACTCTGTATATATTTTTTTTTTATAAACGAATACGTTTGTCCTGTGGCTCGTGAACGGTACTGTATATGCACGAATTTATCATATTTCACAATTTATTTATAATATAAGAAGAAGAAGAAGAAGAAGAAGAATCATTATATTATATTATATTATATTATATATATTATATCACAAAGTTTTATATAAAACGTTAGAAAAGAAAAAAAAACCTCTTGTTGTAAACAAAAAATTATCCTTATGCGTTATAATATTTAATATAAATTTCAATCCTTTTTATATATTATATGAAACCTCCAATCTATATTAATTTTATCAGTGTAAATTAGATGACGATTAATGAGACATATAAATCGATGAACTGAATTTAAAGAAGAAAACTGACAATAAGTTATAACCGCGAAATACGTGCAACACTCTTTCAAACTTTCATTTAGTTTTTCTAATATTATAAAAGAAAGAAAAAAAGAAGGGGGAAAAAACAGAACACAGGAAAAAAAAACATTCGAGTAGAACATCACGTAATGCCATGAAAATCTCATTGGATAACTTTGAATAATCGTCGGAGTGGTGGTTCCCAGAGAATTTTCGTTGAAAATGCTTTGTTCTTTCCCTTTATCTCTCTCTCTCTCTCTCTCTCTCTCTCTCTCTCTCTCTCTCACTCACACTCTCGTAAAGTTACGGCTTAAACGTCGAGCCATCGTGTATTAAAGCTCGTCGTTATCGTTACGTTTTACTCGGTATAGCTCGTTAAGCTCAACGCCTACGACGTAAACGTGTTACTCAGTGGGTGGGTGGGTGGCTTGGTTGGTTTAGGGGTGAAGGGTGAGGGGCTAGGGTCGATGAAGGGATGGCAACGTAAGGGGGGGGGAAGTTTTGGTGAGAAGTGAGAAAGAGAGGGGGGTGAGGGGGTGGCAGTAGGTAGGAAGGTGATTGCTGGACGACGCGACCTACGACTAGGGTGAGAATGGAAAGAGACAGAGACAGAGATAGATAGATAGATAGATGGATAGATAGATAGATAGTCAAGGATAGTAGTTTCCGACGTTGAAAATAAACCCCTCGACACGTCCTTTCGCGAGGAAAATTCGCAATAACGGAATTAGTCCTGCGCGAGTTCAGGAAATTAGCTTCGTTCTCGTCAACCCAACACTACCGGTTAAAGTTTTAATTGTGTTTTGTAACGTGCACGCGACATTCGCGATTTCCCTCCCTCCTCCTCCCCCCCTACCCCCTCTCCCCTAATTCCCGTCCTTCTTTCCCTTTCCCTCGACACCCTTATGTTTTAACTATTTCTGTATAACGATCATCTTAATGCGTCGAATTATCAGGGTCACTAATGGTGTCGTATGATAGAAATTAGGTCGAGAGTTTTGGTGGAAAGTTTTTTTTTTTACATGGTTGAAAAAGAAAGAAAGAAAGAAAAGAGATTGTAAAAACGAACGAACAAACAATCGTAGGTTTTGTTGTTTTTTTTTTTTTTTTTTAATTTTGTACCGTACTTATAATAGGTTTTTTGAAATAAATTTCCGATATATATGGAATATGTCTTGTTTTATAAAATATATTATTACTATTTTGGTATTCGTTATTAATTTCTACATTTTGGCAAACGTTTAGTCCAAAAATAATCTCGTCCCGCATACCGCCAAATATCACTTTTCGTTCTAAAACATACAAGTAACTATTGTTCTATATATTTTGACACGCGTATCACATAACTTCGTTATATATTATATTTTGTTAGTTGCAATGATCACGATCGAATAATTTCATATGAAAAAAAAAAAAAATAACACGCAGCAAATATATTTCGACTTTGTATTTATGATACGAGATTACGAATACGCAAAACACATTGGATTAGAAATGAAGAAAAATAAAAAAAATAATCTGAATCGATTACACGGAAAAAATATCGAGCGAAATAAAAATATAATATAATATAATCGTTATAAAGTAACAACAACAAAATATATTAATGATGATACAAGTTTTACGAGGAAAATCCGACTGAGAAAAACTACGAGAATCGGCAAAAGAGACACGCGATGGAATATAAAAGAAAGAAAAAAATGAGACATTATATCGAAAAAAGTTGACTCATAAACGTTGTCATCGTTTGTTATATTATTATACTAATAGCAAATATTTTCACAGGATAGTGAAAATTCGGATTAATGCTTTTTTATCGTATCTGTTATCGTCATCGTGTTGAGAGTCTTTTTCTCTTCCTCCTCCTCCCCCCCTCCCCCCTCCTCCTCCTCCTTCACTCTCTGTCTCTCTCTTTTTGTCTGAATAATATTAACTCACGAATAGAGAGAGAGGAAACACCACGTGGTTTGGACACGATAAAATTCTCTACAATCGTACTCGTTCATAAAGAAACGGACTGACGAACTGTTCAGTTATCCTCAACATTTTCTCTTCTCCCTTCTTCTTTTCCCTTTCTCTCGATTTATATATATATATAGATATAGATATATCTATCCCTCTCACTCTTTCATTTCCTTTCCCTCACTCTCACAATTTCTTCAGTCTTTTCTTGCATACACAGTGATTCTCTTTCTCTCTTTTTCCAAGTGCATCTATTTAAATAACACGAATAATTCGTACATTTATTTTTACAATTTGTTCAACATAATCTATAGTATCGAGGATTTGTTTTATACTCATGGCGTCGAATAATTTACGAACAGGTGAGTAAATTTTTGTTCGAAATAATTCTATTTAAGAAAATATTGTTGTTTATTAGAGTATGAGAAACTCTGACGAATTTGTTGTTAACTTGGGAAATATACTATCATTGTACGTGTATACATAGTGTTTGTTCTCTCGCGTTTAAGATTTGAAAGGAAACGCATGGTTTCAAGGATATTTCTTGGTTTAAACGATTCTCTTTCTCTTTCTATTGTATTATGTACGATAAACCTGTTTCTATTATAGTTAGTATTTACGAAGAAAATCTATGGAAACGTTCGAATCGGTTACTTAATCGTGTATTTTTTTTTTATACCACTTGATTATCGTGAGAATATTTATAAGGCTTTGTATACAGTATCGTATCATATCGCATCGCATCGCATTAAGCCGTTGTTTTTTTTAAAAAAAAAAAGATCGCAGAATTATGCTTAAATACGAACACCTAATCAATGAAAGAAATATCGAAGGTAACGAGTACAAGTGCCCGTTTGAAATTGTTCACTTATGTAAATTGTTAAAATGTTTAAATTCATATATTGTCACTAATTGTTCGTTTATGTAAACAGTAACAGTGTTGTGTGTTCGTAGTTTACATATGAATTGTATTTATATAAAATGATTTTTTAATTCATTATCTTGGATATTATTTTAAAATTATTAATTTATCGTATATAAATTTGCGCTACAATATTTACACGCATTTACAATTAAATAAATATATGTAATTTTTAATTTATAGTCAAAAGTTAGGTCAAAGTTTTACAATTTTCCTTATATTCAAGTTAATCATAACCAAGACGCGTAAAGGATTTATAACTTGTAAATAATTGCAAGATTCAGTGATGTATTACTGTCATGGTTAAATACGTTAGATTAAATCCACCTGTTCATAATTAATACACGTTCAGTGAGAAGATAAACTTTTGTCAGTTTTATTATTCAATCACAGTTTCGTTCTAACGTCACTCGGCAACGTTATTAAACATAATTTTATATTTAATTATGCATTTATATATATATATATATATATATTCGAAACACTATCAATGAATTTTTCATCGAAGTATTATATCATTCATTTCTCTTTAAGAAAAAAAAAGAATTCGTGGTTTTATTTTATTCATAATACCTAAACCAATCGATTATTGTGATTAATAACAGTAATGAATAATATTATCTCAAGTAAATATGTGTTGGCGTTTAATATACTATTTATATTAATGTAAAACTTTGAACGAGCAAAAATATCATGTTTATTTTTAAATCATCGCAGTAAAATATTAATGAAAGCTGCTGGTTGATACTACAAACATAAATGGATGTTATTATACCGATTCCTTTATTTCTTCTTTTATGCAATTACGAGATAACAACAGTGAGCCTACTTCCGTATTTATATATTTCTTTTTCTTTTTCTTTTCTTTTTTCTTTATAAATGCAAGTTTTGGTGCAATCAGCCACCTGATTGCTTTACTAATACCATTTTATGCTTTTAAATAATTACTTAATGTCAAATCTGGTTAAATCTAAATTATTTTTAATCGTATTTGATTTTATTTTCGCATACCAATATCAAATCTCATGGTCGAACGTTTTTATCGAACATATACGCGCATTTACACTTTTCCTGTTGCCAACGATTGCACTTGGCTTTGATTCAAATGGAAAAAAAAAAAAGAAAAAGAAAGAAAGAAAAACCTTGTAACAATTCTTATAGAACAATTATTATTATCTCCGTATTTTCTAAATAAAAAATCCTTTGATCATTATTATTAATTATTTGTACATTATTTTTCTTTTAACGCGAAATCATTATTAAATTTTTACATGATAAAACAAATAAATAACGTAACACGTTACAACGATTCGAACGATCTAATGCTATTTCCTTATTTAAATATACGTAAATAATGACGTGATAATCTTATTATGCAAACACTTTGAACTCTCAAACCTTGAACTATTCACTTTCAACGAGTATTATCCAGCGTTAATCACATAACGACAAATTTTTGTAGGATTTTTATCGATATCCTAATTCATACAAAACAAAATCATACATATTAACATAATTACATATGTGCATTCGTTACGTATATTGAAATAAACCATGCCCACTCTCTATTGGAATTTTCCGTTAATGAAAAAAAAAGAGAATTATCAATATACGTATGATAATTCTTGCACTTTCGATCTCATTAATCTGAATACATAGAAAGTTTATCAACTAACTGGCAAAAATAACAAAATGGTATAACAATTTTATAATAAGTTTTACATCATAAACCATTATCACCAAAACATTTTTATCTCCTAGAGCGAACCAAGTATATATATATAGTAAATGTAGATCATTTATTATTAAATGTTATTCTTTCGTTGTTCGGTTCGTATCGAAATGATAAAAACACAAAATGTCGATTAGTGATAATCGATCATTATCAGAATTAGAGAAATGGTATCTACCGTAAAAAATATCTTTAGTTTATACTATACAATTTTATATATACCTTTAGATAAAGTATCTAATTTATCATCAAAGTAGTATTTTTTTTTTCGTCAAATTTATATTCCATAATTTAAATTCATAGATATATAATTTTGTTCATCTGTTATAAATTAGTTTGACGCTGATAAAATTAGATAAAGAATAGTCATATTTCATTAATCGAATCAAGACTTGTTATTTCGATCTATCTTAACAATGTTTGCAAATATGTACATGTGTAGAGCTCGTTTGTATTTAAACTAAACGTTGATACGATAATGTAACTACTAGTTGGAAGTCATACGATCGACCTTAATAAGTTAAAAGGTGTTGTAATCGTGACTCGAATCGTTTATGAACTAGATGAGAAGAAAATATATGAAAGAAGAGTGTGCAGTTGAAATAACAATATCAAATTATGATTGATATTGTTATTTACAAAACGAACAAAAATAAGAATGATGTATGACACGATAAAGAAAATAAATAAGATAAGAGTGAAACGAGATGATATATTTTTATTATTTAAGATCACGAGAGTTTTAGTTTGATAGGGGGTTAAACGTCATATCTCGTTGGTTTATTTAGGTGATTCTTAGCCTATGCACACTAATACAATTTAGATATACGTAGGACATACATACGTAGCAACTTGGACACAGGTAACAAGAGAACGAGGCCGTTTATCCGTCTAACGGGCAGATTACATGCGACTAATTGCCGCATAATCTCTCTGATGGCGTTCTCGTGAAATTAACCGATTCTATGCGGATCGAAGATTAAAGGGACTTTGTTAGAGAACATCAAAGATGATCACCAAAGTCATTAGAAAAATAATTGTACTTCTAGGTAGACAAAATAATATCTTATTTTTCTTTATTTATTATATTCCTCAAATTTTCTATCCTCAAATTTTCTATCCTCGATCTTTCTCTTTCTTTTAATAAAGACAATGAGTCAACAATTTCTTCGTATTTAATCAACAAAGAATTGTTAGAACGTATAATTTTGGTGATATTAATTGGACCTGACTATACTTACGTGCATTTCAAGGTGACGTGTCATAGAATATTTCAAAAAAAATCTATCGATATTTGCTTACTGAGTCAAAAAAATTATTCAATAATATATTCGATAATAAAAAGAAAAAAAAATCATTCAATGCATTGTGAAATGTTATTGTAAAAAAGAAAGGGGAAAAAAGGGCGACTACAGTATTGGTACTCGCGGCATAAAAAAAAGGATGGCTCGAGCGATTTTAATTTGGAAATTTTTATACCGAAGATGCACCCCGATTTAGTCGACCGATCACTGAAAAAAAATCAATAAAATCCTGAACAAAATTGTATATCAGTAGTCACATGATACCGTTAACGAATTAAACATTGATCCTCAAATGATTTTGAAACCGTTTGAAAAAAGGCTGAACGCAAAATATGAGGAAGAAAAAAAACTTATTTCACATTTGCATTAATATACGTTACGAAGAAACATTTTTATTCAACGCAATACATTTAACTATACGTTATAACAATTTTCTAACGTGTAATATTTCGGTTAGATCGCTCGAATATCTCTCTCGCGCTATTCTTTTTCCCCCATCTCTCTAAAATTTTTCTTCGTTGTATGCAAATACGTATAAAAAAAAAGAAGGAAGAAAAAGGAAAAAACAAAAGGAAAAGGAAAATAAAAGAAAAATCGCAAAAATTGCTTTAAACAATATTTCAGAGTGCATGATTTACAGCGAGCAATTTGCATCCTAAAACGGCTTTGTAGAAAAAGAAAGGGAGAAAGAGAGAGAGAGAGAGAGGAAAATAAAGGGGGAAAAAAAAGAGACAAGAAAATAAACATTCAGCTCTCCGATTTGAATTTTAAAACAAGTTGGTTGAGATGAAGTATACGACATATTTCAATACTTTGACGAGAATCCATTTCACTATCGTGAATTACAGTAATTTTAAATGTAGAGTAGAACGACAATCGATCGTTTTTACGTTATATAATATCGTCGAAGTTATTAAATAACAAATAAAATATATAATCAATTTGCTTAACATCGAAATATCGATTTTGCAAGAACATTGACGTAAAAAGATTGATCTTCGTGAAGGAAGGTCACTCGTTCCTCGATGAAATGAAAAAAAAAAACACACAAAAAGTGAAGTAAGGGCAGAAGAGGGAAAGAAGAAAATGACGCAAATTCGCGATCGTTAGCGAAGAAGATCGAAGAATTATTTTTCGAAGAAATTACACGCTGGCAGTGTTATTAGAATTTGACGAGACGAGAATATAACAGTCGTTTCGCTTAATTATTCAGTTATTATACTTATACATACCGAGACTAAATGGTAGTTAAGTTATTTTCGCAACACGGATATAATATAAAGAATCGATCTATCGAAAGATAGATGAGAGATACTCTCGACGGATAGTATTATGTAATAAAGTAAGATTATCGTTGAACATTGGATGAACTAACGAGCATGAAACGTCTAATGAAAATGAAGGAAAAAAGAAATGATTTATTGGAAATAAAAAAACAAAAATAATTAACAATAAATAAAAAGAAAAAGTATTTCTTGTGTAAATTTTAATTGATTTATGTACGTATATAAGAATATATTTATTGGAAACTGACCTGAGGCCACCAGGGCTTTAAAAAACATTAACTATTGTATGGAACCAAAGAATTATTATACATTGATTTAAATGTAAAATAATTGAAAGTAATTAAAATAAAGAAATGAGAGAACTAAGAATTTCTAATTGCAATACCATATCATTAGTTAAACATAATTAATCGAGAAATGTAATTTATTAAGATTTCAACAAACTTCAAAAACTTTTTAACGAAAATATTCTCACTGAATTAATTAGAGAGAAAAAAGAAAGTAAAAGAAAATGCTAATTATATGTACGGTTCGACCTAAACATAATTGTTTCAGTAAATTCATCGTGTTTTAAACAGCTTTGACAATTGAAAAGAGGAGAAATAAACACGGTACTGTACTTTAACGTTTCCTTACCTTTAATTTTCTTTCTTGGACCTTTTCACCCTGTCCCTCTCTATTTTTTCCCACTTTACTTTCCCCTTTTCTTGCTTCAAAGCAAAGTGTAAAAGTTCTCTCTTGGAAAATACAGTCGAGTGGCTCCTTTCTCGATCCTTCGACTACAAGTAGAGGTAATTACCTGCCATAATTATCCTTGTTGCTCGAGTTAGATAGTTCGACATCCCGAATGTCGTTCACCCTTTATTTATCTCTCTCTCTCTCTCTCTTTTTCTTTTCTTACATTTCCTTCTTTATTTCTTTCTATTTTTCTTCGTATTACCTTGCGAACGAACTTTCATCTTTTTTCTATTTTCTAGACAATGATCGAAAATTTTCGATCATCTTACAAATATCTATCTAAATCTAACGAGAAATTCTAATTAGAGTTTAAAATCGAGATTGAAAATACTCATTCGTCGACTATTGGAAACTCCAAGCATTGTATTATTCCATACTTTGTAAGCAAGTACACGCGCATCTAAATATACATACTCATGCATTCACATTTAATTATAAGATATATAAGGATGGTATGGATAGAGATGGAAGCATAGTTGCGTATGTTAGGAGCTACTGCACTTCCAAACAAAGTTATTTCATCGGTAGTAGTCAGTGCGCGTACAACAAGCCGAAATAGTGTGAGTCTTTAAATAAATCCTAGATGTCTTTGAATCAAAGTAAGATCAAAATCCTTATCCTTACGGTTTGATCTTAACGTTTTATATATGCTAATTAAAAAAAAAAACATAATATTTCGAATACCTTGTTGTATGTTTCATTTTCTTGTCTTTCTTATTTTCTTATTCTTATCTTTTTGTTTTATTTTTTATATTAAAACTTTTTCATAACGAGAGTTTACTTGTCGAATCTCATAGGTAATAACTTTGTCATCCATCCATGTGTTAACTTTTCAATGTGAAAACACCGTACGCGTACTACGGATTATGTTAATCCATCTTAACGAACCTACATTTGTTTCAGCTTCAATACTAAATCATACGATGGAATTAATTTGGAATATATTATGAATATATTGTTCTACGCTTGTTCGTCGCGTTCGTTTTCATTTTTTTTTTTTTTTTTTTTTTTTTTTTTTCAAAGAAAATTTACCATTAATCTACGAATGAGGATTTAAAAATGTAAATACGTTTTAATTTTTTCGTAATAGTAACGTCTTTCGTCGATTGTATTTAACAAATATGTAAATTTGTTAAAAGTGTGAGACACATTAACGAGTTTATAATAAATTTATCATTATCATAGAAATATGGTTTCCCATTAGTTGTGAAATATCAATATTTAATATTCATTAATGTGATAAAAGTTCGTCCGCACAAGATAATACACGAATATTCAATTCATATTCTCATTGCGGCATTAGTATTAATTATTTACTTAGAAAAGATAAAACACTTGTATCGGCAAATAATACGCTCGCTATAATATTTGCATAATAATTATTATTATTATTATATTTACATTTACTACGTTCAATAAAAAGTATTTTTTATTGATAAACGTAGTTTCATCGAAGAAGAAAATTAATATTGCATAAATTTTATTAATAACTTGCATCGCGTTTTAACAGGCTTCAAAAAGTTGGTGCAAGAGGAAGGTGCTATGAAAAAAACCATAATCACTGGTCTGGCCGAAATGCTAGGTACATCGATATTGGTGTTTCTTGGATGCATGGGATGCGTTGGCAGCCTTGGCGTCATCCCTTCTCATTTACAAATCACTTTAAATTTTGGTTTGAGCGTTATGATCGTTATTCAGGTGCGTTATATATACATGTTACATATACAGAACTTATATATCATGTTGGAATAATTTAAAATGATACTCAATCGATAAGTAATTAACTAATTAATAACTATCATAATTAATGTACATGTATATCGTATGGGAATGATTACCTTTCATATCCATGATAATATTGAATTACAGTAAAGTATCTTCGTAACAAATTTCACATTAATAAAATTTGTAATGAACGGTAGAATATTCTTTTACTTCGCGTTTTTTGTGAGTTTAATTAGTAGAAAAAAAGAAAAAAGAAAAAAGAAAAGCAAATTTATTTCTCTTCTCGCGTATAATTCTGTCACGTTGTTTTACCTCTTCATACACAAAGGTTAATTCTTTTTCTCTCTCTCTTTTTCTCTAACATATTCTCGTCTTTCTTTTCATAGTGTTTCGGACACATTAGTGACGCTCATGTTAATCCAGCCATTACAGTAGGTTCTGTAGTACTCGGTAAGAAAACTATCCCGGAGGCTTTGGTTTATTTCTTGGCTCAAGTGTTAGGCAGCATCCTGGGTTATGGCATGTTAAAGGTTGGTATTGAAAAGTTAACAATGAAAATTATATACAAAGAAAAATGAATATCCCTCTAAAACGTTAACTTTGGATAACTCGTTAAAACGAAATTATTATTTCATTGTTAGGTAAACGCTTAATGAAGTTTAATTGTTGTTGCTTTCTCTTGTTTGTCTTTTTCTCTCTTTTTCTTTCTTTCAAAAATAATCGTTTTAATACTTTGACCATAGTAATCAAGATTACTATGTATGATTCAAATATACAGGTCGTTACACCTAAGGAATACCTCAAAGTAGGAGAAGTTGATGATACAGATAATGTTTGCGTCACTTTTATTAATCCAAACATATCGGCGATTCAAGGACTTCTACTCGAAGGTATATCCACATTCGTTTTGATGTTGGTCGCCTGTGCTGCTTGGGATATCAGAAACAAGATGAATACGGATTCTGTGGCGATAAAGTTCGGTTTTACGGTCGCAGCCTTAGCTACGGCTGTTGGCCCTTACACTGGTTGCAGTATGAATCCAGTAAGGTCGTTGGGTCCAGCTATTTGGAATAATCAATGGAATCATCATTGGATTTATTGGTTTGGTCCTATTGGTGGTGCCCTATTCAGTTCAGTATCTTACCGCACAATTTTCGGTGTTCAAGAATCACACGAAGAGGAAAATACACCGGAATCTGTAGCACTGAATAGTATTGATATGCCTTTGAAAGTAGAAATAAGAGAGGTGAGTTGAAATAATGAATTATTAATTATTCGACAAAATAGAATTATCGTCAATTGAGTCATTTCATTTATTTGCCAAATCGCAAAATCAAAAGTAAACGTAATTGGATAAATAGATAATTTTATAAAAGATTATCGGCAACTAGAAATGATCACTCTTATTAACGAACAAGGTAATCGATCGATTGTATTAATCCATATTTACTTAAACTAATTAATTAATTAAATTCTTTGGAAATGTTATTTTGATCTAGATAAACTGCGATATAAGTACTTATTGCTGGTAAAATATTATAAAACAGTTAGTGGAAATTTATCGGTAAATATATAATTGGAATTTTGATAATAACACTTTAATTCGATACAATATTTCGTCAAATACAATTAGATTAAAGTAAACATAAGAATTCTAAGATAAATAAATTATTTTGAAAACGAATTCAAGTGAAATATTAATATAATAACGTGAAAGCAAAAGCTAACTTTTCAACGATAAAATATCTTGTCATGGTATCTTTTGATAATCAGGTTAATGAGAAATGAGATCTATATGATATTAGATTAGGCGTGTATCGAACATAAGATATTCATGAATGTGTTATATATTTACCATACATAGCACGTATGTATGAAACAGCTGTGCTATCGGTTTAACATAAGTCGAGAAAAATTTGATGCACGTACGACGATGGAATTCAAGTTTATCGTGTCTAGTAGATATCAAAAGTATTTTGGGGAAAAATCTGAAAGTCGTCGTCACGATATCTTGTCTGAATAAAAAAAAAAATATCGATAGGATTATACGAAAAAATAAAGAAAGAAAAGAAAATAACGATATTAGAGAGAAAAATTTGAGATTATAAAGAAAAATATAAAAAAATAAAAGGAAAAAAAAATAGGACTCGTTGGTAGCACATTATCAAGAAAATCAAAAAGATGTCTACCTCGTCTTATCGATATTTCTTATTAACTACGTCTATACATACTATTAACTATCTTCAATCTTTACGAAACCTTAAACGAGCATTTAAAATACCCGAGAAACGTGGCTTTTATCGTTTAAAGTGTAAATCGTATGCACGGTACATATGCATCAAGGTTTCTTCTATAGAACAGATTATCTTGTGAGGGCCGATTGTAAAGGCCGATGATAAATCTTGACGCTCTGGGTTACCTAGAAGTAAGTTCAGTGAAACTGGTTTTATGGGACGTTACAGGAGAACTGGATTTAACACGTTTGTAAAGCTTACCACCACCTTTTGCACGTTGATGCATTTCCCGAAGGGTATAAAGAGTAATATAAAAGCGTAATATCAAACATTATTATCTTTTTTCATTGTTGATCTCTCAAATTTAATGTTCGTTGACTTTTATTTGTCATCCCGATGCTTTATTAATTTATTTATTTTATATTGGCTATTTAATATTGAATTTTTTTCGAAAAACTAGCAATTTGGAAGTCGACCTGTTTCTATATATTTTAATCTTAAAAAAAAAACAACAATCAAATAATAATAGTTGAAAGCTAGTGAAATTACATTTACATTTTAATTTGTAACTATATATATTATACTTATAACAATTCAACCATTGTAAACTCTTATTGTTCCTCTTTGTTACAGCAGCATTGATTTAAGTACCAGAATGAACTCCTATGTGGCCAAATCGCATTATTCGCTATTTTGAACGACGATTTTTTTCGAAAATCTCAAAAATGAAACATCCGAAAGACAAAGAAATGAAGTTATAGAAGTTAGAAATGTGATAGGACGGCATTTTTAATAATCATTGGTCTAAATGAAAGTATCAGAAATAAAAATCAGTATCAGTAATAGAGATGATGTGAGAAGCTTACAAATATCAGCTTATGTTCTAATAATTCTGGAAAACAATTAATTCCGTTGGCACTAATCAAAGAATGCATAATACTCGCGAGTCAATATGATTTGCGTTGACTGACGACAAAGCATTTTTCATAAAGATGAGTTTATGAAGTTTTTATCAATTTATTCTACACTCTGCAACACTTATCTCATTTAGATTTAGAATCATTATTCTTTTTTTCTTGTTTTTTTTTTTTATAAATCCTAATGAATAAGTTCATTCAAGAAATAAGATTCACTTATTTTAAGAGTAATAGATACTAAAAAGTGAAAGACTTTCCTGAGTTAATAGGAAATTGTACGTAATTTTGGTATCATCAATCAGGTTCGATTTTTCATTCGAATGATGCTACAAAATCTTACGTAAAAGTTCACGATTTTTTTCAGTCAATATTTCTATTTTTATTTGACGCGTAATTTTCATCAAAGTGAATTTGCATACAAATAACATTGCTAGTTAACTACTATAAGTAATGAAAATATTGAATAGTGGATGATATACGTTCGTATAATACATTTGTTTAATATGTATTTCGTTAGTATTGTTCCTATACTATCTATATACTTATTATATCCATAAACTTAACTTTCGTTAACTCATGAATTATATACTCGTTTTCTTTTTTTCCCCGTAATTATATTCTTAATTAATATTTAAATCTACAAGAATTGTACAAATTTTTCAATAAATTGAAATTCAGAAAAACTCAATAATTAGTTTATTCATTATTACGGGATTATCAAATATTTGATTGCTCCTGTAACAATGTGGTTTTTTAAAGTAATGTAATTATGGTTGCAATACTCCAAGGGGCTACTGTTTTACTGAAACCCTTCTTATTACTACAGTTAGAAGAAATATAAAATCTGCAATTTGATAAAGCGAAAATGAAAAATGTAAAATATTAATGAAAAAATTTTCCAGTGAAAAATTGTTATTAAATTATAATACTTCATTAAAAATTTCAATTTTGCATAATTTCCAGTACGATATTCGTTGAAAAGACCACAAGTGAATTTTGCGTACACGGCTATTTTAATACTTTTAGATTATAAATTCAACGACAAAAAATTGTTTTTACCGTATTATAAAATATTTCATGCTGCGATTCCTATCGTCGAAAATAAAGTTATTCATTAGGGGGCTAAAAAAAGAGTAAGGAATAAAATAGAGAAAAAATTTCGCGAATAAAAAATGGAAAGTGTTTCGTTTCCTTCCCTTTTAATTTTTGCTCTATGAAGAATCTCACGCGAATGTATTTGCACCTGATCTACGATACGATTTTACAAACGTTATGTCGCAATACATTTCAATAATATGTTAAGTATTATTGAAATGTATGACTCTGTAAGAAAGATATTATGTATATTGACACGTGAACTGTAAAGATCGAAGTAAAAAAATTATTGTAATTTATTGTAATGTTTTATATAGATTAACAAGTCATAATAAAAAAATTTTTTAGTTGCTGATGAAGTCCCAAGTAAGGGACGAAATGTACAACTGGTTCAAAATAAATTGTTCATAAGATTTAACAACCGTCCAAAATTCCCTTTGAGACTTATATTATGTCGCAACGTTCGAGTTCGATGGTGGACCGTTAATTCGCTCATTTTTATCGTTCATCGTGCGACCGACCAATCCTATCAACGTGGCAGAGAAAAAAACAGATAGAAAGAGAATAAAACTTTTAACTTCAAACATAAAATCGCATATTTTCCGAGCTTCTCATTCTCAAAATCTGCTTTTGTTTCTTTCTCTCTTTTTCTCTTCATCGAAATCACCCTCGAGCGGCTTGAAACGATAACTTTTATTAACACCGATGACATTATCATCTTTGATTTGTAGAGAATTCCAAAAGACACATGAATTTGGCGTGTCATAAAATGTAAGTGGCCTCGATAACGATTTTATCGATTCTATCTATCCTACGGTTAATGGTACTTTCCTTGATAACTTGACTATATGGTGGTAGTATTATACTATATGTATATATGTAATGGTACCATATTGCAAGTCTCCCATAAATGGAAGGGTCACAGATGAAATGAAACAAAAAACCTTTTCCTGCATAAGGTGTTATGTACAATCATACAAATCATTGAACTTAATTATACAGGATGCCTTAAATAAAGTTTACCATTCAATTATTTCATTAAATATTCGTTATTTAAGATAATGTTTCAAATGGAATTTATTTTATTTCGAAGGAAAAGATCTTTTATTGGTATTTTATTCGTTAAAAAAAGTTCAGTGATACGGAAAAGCATTGAATCGCTTACGATTATATAATACACTATCTGCATTCATAGTTATATTTAGTGACAAGAAACTTTCTTCGTGATTAATCGAATCGACTAATCCTTCAAGCCCCTAAACTCCAAACTATGGTTTAATTATTGCTCAATCTCGTCGTATCCAACCCCAATCCATCAGCACAACCTTGAAAGTAACTTTAAACTTTCCTTTACAGTTCGTTCTTCACAATCAAGGTTAGAATTGTACGAATAGTTTATTATACATTTCAAACGTAAGTAAATTGATTCTAAACCTGCTTTCATTAAACATTTAAAAATTGTTCTTTTTATTTCATTGATTCGAAGAATGGCGTATAATAAACTATCGTAAGTTGAATTGTTAACGAAAAGAAAAACGCGTAATGTTAGTTGCGATAATACTAATTACGATAGAGTTACATATTCATATAAAGGATTTATAGTAATACTTTATTATAAATAACTGAACATATATTTAAAGTATCGATTGAGAACGTTCAAAAATACAAAGCCGATAATCGAACCTTTCTAAGGATTGGCAGTACTTTCTAGAACGCTTAAAATCGATTATTTTTTTTTCAACTAACTATTATCCATTGAGTAATCGAACCTAGTTTCCCTATTTAAAATTTAAACAAATATTTGATACGTTAGTTTATATCAAACACGAAAATAATTTTTGGATAAAGTTAATTTTAAACAGTTTACTTTTCTTCATTATTAAAAATAAAAAAAAAAATAAAAAAATTCTATCGCGGAAATATAATAATCATCATTCATTTACTATAAATCAACAATGAAACCTTCAGACACCTTAACTATTTTAATGCTAATCTTCTTTTTAAAATAAACACGTTAGAACTTTATTTAAACCATTGAAAACGTTTATAAATCACGATTAGAATAACGCGATCGATAATGATCAAACGTATTCGTGGTTGAACACAAACCTTTCTTCGTATAACGTTTGAAAGACCTACTAACATTTCACGAAGGCTGAAAAAAGAAAAGCATAGGTGTGCCTTTGATTCGAATACGATTACCTTCGTAAATATTTAGAATCGTTTCGTGGGAAACTCGATCGTAATGCCGATCGATCGTGACATTTTTACGAACTTGACCCTAACGTAGTTCTCTAACTGCACTAACTATGCGATCGTAACAAGAGCTCAAAGTATTCCAGTAATTTAATATTCAATTATATTATAGACATATAAATGTTTCTACACTAAACTTTGAGCTTGTTACTTAATACGTAAGACCCGGCACAATACAATGTGTAAAGTTTTAATTACAAATATAGAAAAATGTATATTAAATTTTGAAATAGGTTTAATCGATTATGAAAGAATATTAAAATAAATAATAGACAATTAAACAATTATAAAATCTATGGTACATCTCAACAAATATTTGAAGTTAAATTCGCCATAGAATAAAAAATAATTATGTTTCATATTTAGTGTTTACATGTGTGCCTTCAGAAATGCTCTTATACATATGTAATATTTAAAAAGGTGTAATGTTAAATCCAACGATGATAAACCTGTAACAAAAAGCAAACTATATTAGTTATACAGTCAAGTGATACAATAGCCTGACATATAAGTGGTCCAATTGACAGATGCACTTTTCATTTGAATTCTCTATTTATTTTTATCCAATCTCTATTTACCGTTAGTAAAATAAAATTA